CTAAGGATAGTAAAAAGGAGAGTTTTATGAAAAGTATTGTAATGGCAGATTTTGTGTTTGAAGAAGAAAAATAGAGTCCTTTATATAGACAATTTTAGGGTAGGATAGGTTTGAATGGTCAATGTAGAGGTTAAAAAGGAAAAGGATGTGATTGGTTTTGAAAAGGTGTATGTAGTTTGCAGGTTTGAATACCTTGGGAAGGAGAAGTGTTGAATTGAATTTCAATTGTAATTGGTTAATAAAACTGAAATTCTGTCTACAATTTGAAAAGACAATTTTCATTTTTTGGCCGTTGGACAGTCGCGCCCGCTAATCCAGTATCGCGCTCGCTATCTTTAAGATTTCTCCTTGCAAACGATGATCTCAAACCTTCTGCCTTCCTTTGCACGTTGTTCGCGCCCGCGAAACTTACTTTCTTGATTGCGAATTTTGATCCTATCTTTCTGTTTCTTTTTGCAGAGTTATGGCATCTGCGATTTTGTCCGCGAACTTAAGGGCCAACCCTTCTGTGCTTAAAGCACAGTCTTATGCACCCGTGCTTCCACTTAACTAATTATCAATCTTTTTTTTTTTCAACTTAAAGAAATATTAGTCCTTTTAAACCATATTGTTGCTCTTAATCAAAGAAAATATTCAAAATGTAACTTCTTAGAATAAAAGATAAAATGAAAACAAAACTAACAATAAACATACTATATATATAAAATGAAACAAAAACTAACAAATAACATACTAAATATATAATATATAATATATATATATATATATATATAATATATATATATTATATATATATATTATATATATATATGTATATTATAGATACCAACTTTGTGTCTTCATATTTCAACTCTAATGCTCCGTGATCTAAAATTCTGATCACTTCAAATGGTCCACTCCATCTAGACTTAAATTTTCCAAGAAATAAGCGTAGTCGTGAATTAAACAACAACACTTTATCTCCTTCCTTAAATGACTTGATTCGAATATGAGTGTTATGCCACTTTTTAGTTCTTTCCTTATATAACTTGGCATTCTTATATGCTAACGATCTAATCTCATCAAGTTCATTTAATTGAAGTTTCCTCTTAATGTCTGCCTTGTTCAAATCAAAATTTAGAGCTTTTATTGCCCAATAAGCTTCATATTCAAGTTCTAAAGGTAGATGACATGCTTTACCATAAATCAAATGGTATAGACTCATCCCGATCAGTGTTTTAAATGCCATTCGATATGCCCAAAGTGCATCATCTAACTTAAGTGAGTTGAATTGATAGCTTTTCTAAAATCCACTTAAGTTCAAGATTTGAAATTTCCACTTGACCACTAGTTTGTGGATGGTATGGAGTAGATACTCTATGGTATATCCCATATCTTTTCAAAAGACTCTCAAAAGATTTATTTAAGAAGTTCATACCTCCGTCACTTATTATTGCCTTTGGAACTCCAAATCTTGTAAATAGTGCTTTTAAAAACTTAACCACCGTATTTGCGTTGTTTGTTACACAAATTGTGCCTCTACCAATTTGGAAACATAATCCACAGCCACCAAGATATAACTTTTTACCTTGTGAAATAGGGAAGGGTCCCATAAAGTCGATCCCCTATACATTGAATATCTCTACCTCAAGTATGTTGGATAAAGGCATCTCGGAAATTCTTTGTTAACCATAGTTAAAACGGCCCTTTGATAAAAAATTCACACGGGCACCGTATGGATGGTAAGGGTGCTGTCTGAGAGTTATTGTCCATAACACAAATTGTGCCTCTACCAATTTGGAAACATAATCCACAGCCACCAAGATATAACTTTTTACCTTGTGAAATAGGGAAGGGTCCCATAAGTCGATCCCTATTACATTGATTAATCTTCTACCTCAAAGTATGTTGGATAAAGGCATCTCATCTCTCCGACTTCTATGTTTCCAAACCCTTTGACACCTGTCAAAATGAGAGACCCAATATACGTGGCATCTGGAATAATGTAGGCCAATAAAAGCACTTTTTCTAAAAACCTTTGAAGCAATTTAATTTGTTACCAGGTGCCCTCCTCCGTATGGACTCGAATGACAATGCATAAGTATATCTTGTACTTCTGTTTCCCCTACACATCTTCTAATCATACCATCCCCACATATCTTAAACAAAACTGGTTCATCCCATAAAACATTTTTAACATCTGAGTAAAACTTTTTTCGTTGTACATAACTCATATCAGGAGGTATTACTTTAAAAGCTAGAAAATTTGCAATGTCTGCATACTAAGGTGTATGAACATGTTGTACTAACATTAGATTTTCATCTGGAAAACTTTCATTAATAACTGTAGACTCTCCTATTAGACTTTCTTCATTTTCTAGATGTGATAAATGATTAGCAACTAAATTCTCATAACCCTTTTTATCTCTAATCTCAATGTGAAATTCTTGCAATAAAAACACCCATCTAATAAGACGTGGTTTCGCATCTTTCTTAGCAAACAAGTATTTTAATACAGAATGATCAGTACAGATTATGACTTTGGATCCTAACAAGTATGATTTAAATTTATCACATGCATATACTACAGCCAACATTTCTTTTTCAGTAGTTGTATAATTCATTTGAGTACTAGTTAGAACATGGCTAACAGAGTATATCACATGCAATTTCTTATCATGTCTTTACCCTAAAACACAACCAATAGCAACATCACCAGCATCACACATTATTTCAAATGGTAATCCCCAATCAGGTTTTGGCATAATAGGTGCACTTACTAATGCATCTTTCAAAGTGTTAAAGGCATTTAAACATTACTAATGCATCTTTCAAAGTGGGTTTAAAGGCCATTTAAACAAATCTTGAGAAAAATCAAAGGAAACATCTGACGCGGAACCTATGGAAATTAATTCCAAAAACTCTATGAAAAGATTTGGAATAGTTCAAAAGATCAAAACTAAAACTCCCCCTCTGTGGGCAACCAAAAGAACTAAACTCCCCTCTATGGCACCCAAAGCTTAAGGAAGCAAGAACACCAATAATAGAGTAAAGAAGAATAAGATAAACGCCATATGCAATTAGAGGAAAGTAATCTCACAATCACTCTAATCAAAGAACATGCCAAAAGCATGAACAAATCTGAAGATTTTATTAATTCATTGTATGTTTTGTTCAATAACATAACAAAGTTATGTATACTAAATCTAAAAAGTCTGACCCCTAAAGGATTTAGAATAACTAATCCAAACAAATTAAGGATACAGATTAGCTAATCTAAATCAATTAAGGATAAGAATTAACTAATCTTAACATATTAAGGATAAGGATTAACTAATCTAAACGAACTAAGGATAAGAATAACTAAACCAAACAAACTAAGGATAAGGAATAATTAATCCAAACCAACTAAGTATAAGGAATAATTAATCCAAACCAACTAAGGATAAGGAATAACTAATCCATGTGGCCCAACCCCATTTAAACATTATTACAACTCAAATTAACACACTTGGACTAACTAAATTTCGCTAAGAGAAGACTCTAGCAATGGCCTGGGCATGTCAACTAGCATGGGCGTGCCCTTCTTGTGTTTGTTTTCCCCTTCCTCAAGTCAGACTTCTAGCACGGCCTGGGCCGTGTCAACTAGCACGGGGCGTGATTCTTTCCTCAGCATATGCTTTTCAATTAATGTAAAGAAGGCCTAGGTTGTGCCTTTAAGTTCTACACAGCACTTGGTTGAAAGAAGGCATGGAGCTCTTGTGTAACTTTGTTCTTTGAATGTATAAGGACATGGTTGCTTCCCAATATTCTTTGCACGACTTCTTGTATGGTTGCTCCATATTTCTTTGCACGACTTCTTGTAATTGGTCCACTAGGAAACACTAATGGATTTTCCATGTTGTTCTTCTTGTTCCCTTGGACTCCATTGATGAGTGATGGTGGATCCGTATCAACATCTTTAACAAGCAAGTTAGTTAATGGTTTAACAATGATAGAGAAATTCTTTATAAATCTCCTGTAAAATCCTGCATGGCCTAGAAAAGACCTAATTCCCTTAACCGTAGTAGGAGGTGGTAACTTTTCTATGATTTCTATCTTTGCCCTATCTGTTTGGATTCCATCTTTACTTATTTTGTGCCCCAAAACAACGCCCTCATCAACCATAAAGTGGCATTTTTCTTAATTTAAAACTAAATTAGCACTTTCACATCTTGATAACATTAAGTCCAAATTTTTCAAACAACTTTCAAAAGAATCACCATACACAGAAAAATCATCCATGAGCACATCCATGATTTCTTCTATGTAATCATTAAAAATGGCTGCCATGCAGCGTTGTAATGTTGCGGGTGCGTTATATAATCTAAATGGCATCCATCTATATGCAAATGTACTGAATGGACAAGTAAATGTAGTTTTTTCTCGGTCATTCGGAAATATATAAATATGAAAATATCCCGAATATCCATCGAGAAAGCAATAGAAAGCATGACCAGCAATCCTTTCTAACATTTGGTCTATGAATGGTAACGGAAAGTGATCTTTCCTTGTGGCTGAATTTAGCTTCCAATAGTCAATGCATAGCCTCCAACTCGTAGTGGTCCTAGTAGGGATTAGTTCACCATTTTCATTTTTTACTACAGTCGTCCCTCCTTTTTTAGGAACACATTGAATCGGACTAACCCATTGGCTATTCGAAATTGGGTATATTATTCCTGCATCTAACAGCTTTATGATTTCCTTCTTCACTACTTCTTTCATATTAAGATTAAGTCTCCTTTGTCTTTCTACCTTAGGTACATGTCCATCTTCAAGATTTATTTAATGCATGACTCGATTAGGACTTATACCCTTAAGGTTAGAAATTTGCCATCCTATACTCCTAATCCTATTTCTAACAATACTTAACAATTCATTTTCTTGATCTAGAGTTAATTTGTTAGAAATGATTATTGGAAGTGTGTGACCTTTACCTAGGAAAGCATATCTTAGATGATTAGGTAGTTCTTTAAGGTCTATTATTGGTGGTCTTTCAATTGATGGAGGTAAAGGTTCATTTTCTCTAAGTAACATCCCGGTAAAGGTTCATTTTCTCTAAGTAACATCCCGGGTCTTAAACTTATAAACTCTTTTTCTTCATTACTTGCACTATCATTTTCATACTTAACATTATTTTCTAATGCAAATATTTCATGCACACACGTATCAACTATGTCAATCCTCATGCAATTTCCTTCATCCATAGGATATTTCATGGCTTTATCTATATGAAACTCAATGGTATCATCACCTATCCTACGAATTAATTTTCCTTCTGACACATCAATTAATGCCCTCCTCGTGTTCATAAATGGCCTTCCTAAAAGAGGACAATTCTCATCATAAACAAAGTCAAGTATGACAAAATCAATTGGAAAAATAAACTTGTCAACTTTAATAAGTACATCTTCAATAAGTACATCTTCAATAATGCCATAAGGTCTTTTAATAGATTGGTCAGCAAGTTGTAAAACCATATTAGTACGTTTTACTTCATCTTCTAAACCTAATTTCTTGAAAAGAGATAATGGCATCAATTTAATAATTGCTCCTAAGTCACAAAGGCATCTAGGGAAATCTACCTCACCTAATTTACATGGTATGGTAAAGCTTCCTGGATCCTTAAGTTTAGTAGGTAATTTACTTGAGATTATGGAACTACAATCCTCGGTCAAACTAACTGTTGACACATCTTCCCAACTACGTTTCTTTGAGATTAAATCTTTAAGAAATTTCCCATAGTTTGGAATTTGCGTAATGGCTTCCATGAATGACATGCAAATATGCAAATGTTTCAATTTATTTATAAAGTTTAAGAAGTGCTTATCTTATTCTTACTTCTTTAGCCTTTGCGGAAAAGGTGGACTTGGTTGATAAACTATCAAATTATCATTTTCCTTTGATCTTGCAGAATTTACTTCCTTGCTCGGTTCACAAACCGGCTCAACAGAATCATTATTCAAAGCATTAGCATCAATACCTGAGGGAACTATTTTATCAACTACCTTTCCACTTCTTAAAATAATAGCACTTACATTCTCCCTAGGATTCTTTTCTGTATTACTTGGAAGGTTTCCTACTCCACGTGATGAAATAGTATTAGCAAGTTGCCCTACTTGCACCTCCAAAATAGCAAGTTGAAGGTTTCCTACTCCACGTGATGAAATAGTATTAGCAAGTTGCCCTACTTGCACCTCCAAGTTATGTATAGATGAAGAATGATTTTTGAAAAGTTTGTCAAACTTAGACTCTAACCATTTAAAATTATCATCTTGACTGCTCATTTTTGGATTTATTCCATCCAAAAACTTGTCAATTGTCCTATTCTATATTGAGGTTGATTAGCTTGATTTCCTCTATCTTGATTATCACTGTTTCTCCAAAAAGTGTTAGGATAATTACGATATTCAGTATTATAATTATTCGAGTATGGACCGCGAACTTGTCCATGAACATAGTTCACTTGTTCCTCCATAATCGAATGATTATAATTACACTCCTTTGATACATGTCCATTTTGACCACAATTTTCACAAGTAAGAGAGGTTGACTTACTCATATTCAAGTTATCAATTTTATGTGCTAAAGCAGAAATTTGTGCTTGCATCATAATTAATGAATCTAACTCATGTACTTTCTTAACTGAATTATTTGAAGAAGAAGAAGAAGGATCATGATTAACATTGGAACAACTTACCTGAGCCCTTTCGGTTGGCCATATGTTGTTGTTGTTAGCCATCTTGGCCATCTCTTCTAGTAACTCAATTGCATCATTAGTAGTCTTCTTTATTAGTGATCCCCCTGCCATAGCATCTATAGTTCCTCTTGTAGAAGGTGTTATCCCATTGTAGAAGGTTTGAATCAATATATTTTGGGGAAGGCCATGGTGTGGGTAAACTCGTTGGAGTTCTTTATAGCGATCACATGCCTCATATAGGGATTCATTTTCATGTTGGGTAAATGAGGTTATTTCTTTGATAAGCCTAGCGGTTTTTACTAGTGGGAAGTATTTAGACAGGAAAGCTTGGGCTAGTTGTTCCCTTTGTTCATCTGTGTAAGAAAATACAAAATGAGAAAGGATACAACATCACGGCAATTAGAAGTGACCATGGAGGAGAATTTGAAAATCAGAAATTCAATGCTTGTTGCAACGAGACAGGAATCTTCCATAACTTCTCAGCACCTAGAACACCTCCACAAAATGGAGTGGTGGAACGCAAGAATAGAACATTTCAACAGATGGCTAGAACCATGCTAAGTGATTCTAAACTACCAAAGTATTTCTAGGCAGAAGCAGTCAACACTGCCTGTTATATCCTAAACAGGGCTTTGGTAAGATCTGAACTTAAAAAGACTCCATATGAGCTATACAAAGGTAGAAAACCGAATATTGGTTATTTTCATATCTTTGGGCTTTGGGTGCAAATGCTTTATTCTAGATACAAGAAATCATCCTTGCTAATTTGTGAATCTTTTATGAAGGGATTTTCTGGATATTCTAAATAATAGTAAAGCATATAGAAGTTAATTTAATAAAAAAAGACTCTAGTTGTAGAAGAATCTTTATTCATGTTGTGTTTGAAATGAAACTGACTCTACTTCTAGAAACATTAGAAAAGTGATGATGTTGTAGATTCTAATCCTGAGAAGTAGAATGAGCAATCAGGAACAACTAGAAACAGCCAGAAAGCGATCAGAAAATCAATAATCAGGCTGACC